GAGACCTTACCTATGAGGAGGTGCCGGTAGCTATTCTGGATCGGAAGGTCCATCAGCAGAGGAACCGGGCAGTGAGCTTGGTGAAGGTGCTGTGGAGCCGACACGATGAGACCAAGGCGACTTGGGAGAGGGAGGACGGTATTAGGAGGCGTTATCCGAACTTTGAGTTTTGAGTTCCCTTGTGTTTTATTTCGCTTTCTAGATCTTTCATTTTCGAATTCTGAGGACAGAATTCTTTGTAAGGTGGATAGACTGTGATACCCCGTTTTATCGTGGATTATTTGGGAATAATTATTGATTATTGCTATTAATAATTGCTTTTATTATTATTATTATTATTATTATGAGTATTATTATTATTAAATGCCAAATTGCTATTATTTATTTGTTATTAGTAATATTGCTATTATTAATTGTCTAAATATTATTAATTGTCAAATTGTAATTATTTGTCTAAATGCATATTTTTTTTATTATTTTTATTATTATTTTAAAATATGATGTGTATAAATATATAAGTATTTATCTAATTTATTAATCGTGTGATTTTAACCGAGCTTTCGACCCGCACTTAGCCAACCGGTTTCTTTCTCTCTCTCTCATGCGTGTGTAGGTGTGTGTGCGTGAGCGTGTGAGAGTTTGTGTCTTGTGGGACAAGTTATATTAAACCTTTCCCTACTTATATAAATATGAGTAATGAGAGGACCTACATCTATTTAATAGTGAGATTAATTTTTCAACCAGCAGAATTAAAAATCCCTCAGCTATTGTACAACTCGCGCAGACCCTAATTCTGCTATTTCTCGTTTTATTCCCGTCTTCCTCCATCTTCTCGCTCAAGCCATCTTCCATCATCATCATCATCGACCCTCACCGGAGCAGCCAGCGGCCACAATCTCATCTTCCGTCAACGTTCAGTTCCAGCATTCGGGACCCGTCGAGTCCTGTCGGAGTGCCGAACGTAGCCGTCGAGGCCCGTCGAGTTCCGTCGGAGTGTCAAACGTAGCCGACGAGCCCCGAGAGTGGTAATTTTAGCTGAGCCTATACCTCATAAATTCATCGAGATTATGTGTTTTTTTTTTTTTATGCTTAAGTTTTCAGCTTTTAAGTAAGTTTATCCATGCTAAAATTTATTAAGTTTTATGTGAACTGTGAAGCATGTTTTAATCTTATTTGTAGTAATTGTTTTGAGCTGAACCTTAGCAATATTTAATGACCGAAGCTATTGTTTGATCTTCAGTTTGATTGGATTTTTGGTCTAGCATGTTTGTACGTTAATCTCGAACCTTGTGTTGCTCTTATACGTTGAACTCTATGTACTGCTATCATGCTGAAAATGAGTAAAGATCAGAGTAATTGTCTCAGCTTTATAAAGCCCGTAACATCTGTTAAGTAGGTACCAGGTCTAGCCGTGTGGTTGCCTTGCGATTGTTGGGAATTCT